TAATGTACATAAATAATGTGTTTTTTTTACTTTAAACCGCATAAACACATTTCATTACACCAAATAATGTTCTTTTTAGCTTTTTAGCATTTAATGTTTTTGTCTCGTCGCTCCGCCCGGACAGGGCATTACAGTATGGTGAGGGGCATAACATTTCCGTCTCACGCTTGAGGTATTCGGCCAATAACAAGGCATTGGATAGCTGGCCAATCACAGCACACCTCGCTTTTTCAGCCCGATGAGCTTTGTAAAAATCGACGCGTTTCAAAAGGCGGGGCATAGAGGAGAAACATTAATGTACATTATGTGGAAAATAATGTGTTTTTTTTACTTTAAACCGCATAAACACATTTCATTACACCAAATAATGTTCTTTTTAGCATCATCATATGACCCCTTTAATTATTTTGTCAGTTCGTACCCTGATTAAATCTCTGTCCTGCAGTTAACCTACAGCTTCTTACCTTGAGGTTCAGGGGGTTGACTATGTTGTGGGTGGTGCAGTTAACAGGGCCCTCCGTCGTGACCTCCAGCGGGTAAATGAACCTGTTACTTTGAAGCCTCATGGGGCATTTGAGCTGCAGTAGAGTGTGACTGATGCGGCTCGGCCCGTTGTTCACCAACTGAGAAAGAGAAACGGACAGAGAAAGAGAGATATGAGTCAAGTGTATGTTATGTCATAATCCTCTCAACCACTTCAGTTTAAAAACAAGGCTGCTGCTTTGTCATTTTCACGATTACATCATATGCCATCACAACCACAAGATTAAGTTGTGCTGCTAAAGCAACTCCACAGGTGTTTCTGTACTTTCTGGTCATCATAAAAGGATGGTTTGATGCCTTGTGCTATTTCAGGACCTCTGTGTAGCTTTTGGAGATTCTCCATGACAACCTCTCCATGTGCAAGTTTTGCGTGACTCATCAGCAAAACCCTAACAGAAAGTATGTGTCATATATAGAAACCAAACTGCAAGCAGCAATTAGCGGAACTGACCGACATGAAATGGACTTAGTGACTTCTGTGTTCATTTCATAAAATGTAAATTAATTTAAAAAGATCTCTGATTGTACAATCACAAATTGCATACGAACACGTTTTCAATGAAGAAATAACATTTGACTGTCTATGGTGTTGCATTGACAGTCTTTTTTATTTATATACATTTTATTTTTGCTTGTAAAAAGAGAATGAATGAATGAATGAATGAATGAATGAATTATATGAGGAGTTCATGAAAAAGTTTACCTAAAATTATTTGAAGTCTCTAGCTCAAAAAAAAAGCTGGCAGGGCTAACATTTAAAACACTGCAAATGTAACTGCTAGTTGCTAGGCAAAACCATACATCCCATAATTACACCACAGGAATATATAGCTTTTACTATGGATTCCTATCAATGACAGTCCTTCTCTGACTTCAAGTCCAACTGAACAACTCAGACAAGGTCTTTACCTCGTAAGTGTGCTGGACTGAGGGTCCGACATCCTGTTCAACCATCACATTCTTGGTCAACTTCCAGTTCGGTAGAGGAAAGAAGACCTTGTCTGGTCGGGAGACACTGTAAAATGAGAGATAAAGAGAGACGAGAAAATGAAAACCGGGAGAGTTTCCTAGTGAGAGTTCTAGAAGAGCGGTGGTCTTGTGAAGTACATATAAATGGGTTCTGCATGTGAACTCACCCCTGTAGAATAACATCTGACCGGACCACCACCTCCAACTTGTAGGGAACCACTTCACTCTGGGAGTTATTCTCATTCTTACTGTAGATGGAGAGATGGAGAGCTTATTAAAGAGCATACTAAAGCCTCTTTAAGGGCATGTGCAACTAACCTAACCATATATTTAAGATGCATGAAATATCAGGGACCATAATATTCTCACTTATAATTAAAAATGTATATGATGGCCAATATGAAATACATATTTAAATAAATAAAAGTAAATCATTACATTTTGTATAGGCAATCGTATATTTTTTTTAAATATCAATAAAAAAAAGTTTATTTCTTTATATAAGATTTCCTTTTTATATATTTATTTCTTTATACATTTCTTATTTATAAAAATTAAAAAAAATAATCCCAATTCAAACAATGATATGTTTTCTATGCAAAAGTACTAAACAGTTATTTATGTTTGCTACAGTATAGTTTAATTGTCTATAGATAATGTGAATGTTTATTTTTAAAGACACTTAGGTAAAACACCATAAAACAAAAAACACATTAAAGCTGTGTGCACTGGTTTCAAGTTTCATACCTACGTATCTGAAGGTCAAACTGCACAAATGTGTGTGTGTCCTTGAGACGTGGTACTGTGAATCGCAGTCCAGCCCATAACTGAAAATATAACAAAATAATTTATTTTAAATAATTCCAAACTCACTTCCTAGAAATACATATACATGCATATTTCATTAAATCATTTAAACACCCCAAAAATGACAGAAATACAAGCAATTTCTCATAAAGGAGCCAATAATATTAGCAATGCCACAATACTGAAAATTCAGCTTTCCAAGAATTACACCAGAGAATTCTCTACAACACACGAATTCCCCATAATGCACTGCCATAGCAACGGAATGGATGTTGAAATCGGTGGAATGTGCCTTTCCTGTATTCCATCCAAAAAACAAAAGTGGAAACACTAAAATGCATTCTCTGTCATTCATCTCAGTGATGTCATGTTTAGGTGTACTGACAAAAGCACTCCACTTAGTTAATGCCCTAAAATGCTAAAGTCACCTACCCAACCCCAGGCTGTATGGGAGTTCCAGCCTCCCTTTTATATTTGTGGTTTTATGCTCCCACCGCATGCACACAAACTCTAGCAATAAGACCCCATACGAGCAGCTAAAATTTTCCCTCAACTCAGTGTGTGAGAGTTCGGGTGTCCATGCACGTGTGCGTGGTTGTGACTTCTGAACTTCTCATTGCATGAGATACAATTACACATACAGGCCAAGTTGTTACGAGGAACCTCTTTGGTGGTCCTGGAATCCAAAAATAATGAGCTAAAATAGCGTTTATAATAAAATTGCTGAATAAAACACCCAGATAACCTGCCCTGAACTAATGAGAGCAGCGTTGCATCGACTAAAAAAATAAACAGGGTCTGGAAAGACATAGACAGGGAACAGTTTGAACAGTCACCCAATTATACTCCATCTCTGCAGACACATTAAAAAGCCACAGGTCCCTCCACCTTCACACAGTGGCATTTTGGAGAGGGGAACTCCACTCTCTAAAGGGGTACAGCCAAAATGACTGTCACTTCCTGCATCACTGGTGGGGACTTCCTGCTTGATCCAAAACAGCCCTCAACAAACCCCCCAGACAGCACTACGAGCCAACTAACATTTTTCTAGGCATTTGTGAATACTGGAAAAGGATAACTGGATAATTATAAATTGTTTTATAGAGACCGCACACACAAAAAGCAATTTCTAGTCAATGAAAAATGTAAGAATTGAACAAAACTATAACTACATATACTATATCAGTAGATCAACATATGTATAGATCGGCAGATAAAGATTCATCTGTTGATGAATCTTTATCTGTACTTTCCATGACTTCATAAGATTCTACTCATTTCCATGACTCTTCAAATCATAA